TTGGAGAGACTCAGACTTTCTCTGAGGATCTCAAGATGCCCGAGGGTGCCACAGTCCCTGCTTGAGAAACCCTCTTTCACAAGCCCCGACACGCAGCAGCTCCTTGGGCCCAAGGGGTCGGTGGAGCCCGTGCCCCGGTCCCTGCGGGTGGCTGCACCAGGTACTTGTGGCCGTGTCGGAATTTGTTTCCTGTTTCTCGCCCTTGGTTTTGGCGCCACCGTGTGGCCAAACCGGGATCAAAGCTTCAGGACTGAGGGGAAACCACAGCACATCCTCAGGAGGAGAAAGAGCAAAAAAAAAAGGAAGCATTTAGCAGACGATAGTTTCAATCCATCGACCTCTGGGTTATGGGCCCAGCACGCTCCTGCTGCGCCACTCAGCTGTGGGAGTCCCATACCTGTCACTGTGCTTCAAATAGCATCTTCACAATCCCTTTGATAGCACAAGTATTTAGTACTGTGGCAGGTGCCTCGGCTGGAGGGACTCTGAGTTGGAAATGCAGGCCTGGCACATGCTCCTGCTTTGGGCTGGGGACAGACACCTCTTGTCACTGCTCTGCAACGGCCGTGCCCCAGGCCCTGCTCTTGAACCAACTCTGCCCACAGCACCAGCTCCAGCCGTCCCCACCAAGGCTGTGCATCCCCCACAGGGACAGTTGAAGGAGCTGGATCTCTCTGGGCCAGCAAGGACCAGCTGAGGACTGGCCGCCCTTTGCTGGGGGTCTCCAACAGAATGACACGAAGGATTTTTGAGGGAAATCACTCCTGGCATTAGGAGCCCCATCCTGCCCCCTGACCTGGGCCTGGCAGCAGACACCCTCCTTCTCCCTGCCCCACCTCTGCCCTTCCCTCTGCCCAGCAAAGGAAGTGCTAAACCACCCGCTGTCAGAGGAAAGCACGCCTCGCGCTGCCCACCCCACCCAGGAGCGCTGCTGTTCTCTGCTCTGCACAGCATCCATTCCCAGCTGCGGGGCCCACAAGCACAGGAGTTTCCCGGTCAAACTGCCCAAGAGGAGGGCACTGATCCTGGCACCTGCCTGGTCCCCAAATATCCCTGTCAGCACTGCAGTGGCCTGGGACCGGCTGTGGTGTGCAGGCTCCCTGACACCCTGCAGTGTCACTCTTCCGGCTGCTCCTGAAAGTGCAGGGACGGGGCAGCTCTGACTGTGCACTGAAGCTTTGTTCAAGTTGAAAGGGAATTGGGCCTCTGGGCCACTGCTGGGTGTCCCCGCTCCATACAGCGAGGGAGACTGCTCCAAGGGGATCACAAGGGCCAGGTCTTTTCCTCCACAAAACCCTAGAGCTGCTGCAAGCTTGAGGAGAGATGCACACAGTGCAGAGGAGCCCTTCTTCTCCAGCTGGATGACCCTGGTCTGGTAACCCTGAGTTAATGCTAAAGTGGCAAGCACAGCTGTTCCCAGCCATTGTTCGGGGTTCAGTTCCTGGCCATCACTGCTTCTTATCTTTTTCTCCCAGTTTTGCTTCCTCACTCAGCCTTTGAGATCCCAACTGCAGGGGTTGGCACAGAAGAGAAATGTGATTCACCAGAAAAACAGCTATGATACCTGTGGGCGAGAGAATGGAGATTTTTACCTGCACTCTGGGTACTCATCCCTGCACCCCAACGTGTTTGCTTAGGTGACAGGTGGGGAGTGGCTCCTGCAGAAGCCTTTTCACCCCGCGCCTTCCGAGCATCCCTCCATGCCCAAACAGGCCAAGCACTGGCAGAGGACAGGGGCAATATTAGCTTCTCTTCCCTGCAGGCTCCAGCAGATGTAGCCTTTCAGCCCTGCCTTTCAGCCCAGGCCAAGTCCCAAATTGCTCAAAGTAGACAAGCAGTGCAGTGCAAGACATTCCCGCTCAGGTCTCGCCCAAGCCAGACAACACCAGGGAAGCTGACAGGCAACTCTCTGGCTGGCACCTTGCAGGGAGCAGTGTCCTGCATTGCCCTGGGATTCCCAGAGTGGGGGCAGGAGCCCTGACTGGCCAGATGCCAAGGAAGAGGCAGATGCCCATGGCCCATGGTTGCAACATTTTGCTCCCCTCATTGCAAACACTGAGAAGAGGGGTGGGGAGCCCGGGATGGAGTAGGAGCATTTCTTCCTCTTTGAATCAAATGGGTAGCAAAGCTTCAGGATGGAGGGAAAAGCACAGCACAACCTCAGGAGGAGAAAGAGCAAAAAAAATGGAGAGCCATTCAGCAGAAGAAGGCATCAATCCATCAACCTCTGGGTTATGGGCCCAGCATGCTTCCACTGCAACACTCTGCTGCTGTTTATACATTCTTGTTGTGTTTCAAAAAGCATCTTCACGACCCGCTCTGACAACATGAGTATTTTTTACTGCAGCCTCTGCCTCAGCTGGAGAGATTCTGGGGTTGGAAGTGCCCGCCGGCTCCGACCTGCCCAGCAGGCTGTGACGGAGCCAGGCCTTGCTGCCACTCCCAGCTGGGACGGGAGTCAGGTGCTTGGTGTGAGCCGAGCAGAGCAGTGGGAGCCTGCGATGTTCAGGCACCAAAGGCAACTCACTTCCTCCCGGGGCCTTGCCCCTTGTGTGCAGGGTTAGGGCAGAGACCCTTCCCTGGGGCCACGGACACAGCTGGGGCTTGCTTCTGCATGTGCTGCTCTCTGCTGTGGGGCACATCTCAGCTCTGCCCCAGTGCATCACCTCCCTGTTCAAGGCCAGGAGCATTCTCGTGCTGGTTGGAAACCAATGAACTCAGCATGTACTCTTCCTCATCCACAGCCCAAATCCCTCTCTCAGGTCAAAAGATGCATTATATTCCATGCTTCCTTGTAGAGACATCAGGAATCTTCCTGGAATGATTTGCATCACCCCCACCTTGGGTTCCCCATTTTCTTTCACACAGCAGTTGTCACATTGTCCTGACATGGGAAAGGATCCTCTGGTTGGAAATCATGTGAGAACCTGTTTCCCTCTCCCTCAATGATCCACCTGTGCCCACCCCATATTTTTGTGCCCTTCTGCACCAACCTACCCTACCCAGATGTAAAGCTGGTGCAGAACTGAGTAAGGGAACTGCCTTATTCACAGCTTGTCTCCTACGTGCTGTAGGAGCTGTGGGAAGTGGGTTGAAGGGGTCCCTTGTGTATCTGGGCTTAGAAAATCCATGATTTTCCAAAGCCAGAAGAAAGACAGAAGGGTGGCAGGGGAAGAAAAGGAAGAATCCCTGAACAGGAATTGAACCTGGGCTATGGCGGTGAGAGGACCAAATCATAACCACTAGACCATCAGGGACCTGAGTAGCTTGTCATTTGTGTTCATTTCTGATTCAGTCCTGGGCCCTTCAGCTGCAGCATGGACATGAATTATAACTGTAAAGGAAGGAAGGGCCTGGGCAGATGCACTCTAAATGCATGGGCATACTCAGACATTTCATAGACATTAGGGGCTGGAAGGGGCCGTGCAAAATCACCAAGCCCAGCCCTCCTGCTGTAGACAGCAAGTCTGCAGAGATGAAGTGATCCCAGCAACATAAACATCCAAACGCCTTTGAAATGAGTCCCAAGTAGGTGCTTGCACCACCTCCGGGGGCAGTCGGTTGCAGACCCTGGGCACTCGGACCAGGAACATGTTTCTCCTTACGTTCAATCTAAATTGGCCTTCTAGGAGTCTGTGGCCATTGGACCTTGTTATTTCTTGGGCAGCCCTGGTGAACAACTGTCCTCCCAGATCCTCATGCACTCCCTTTGTATCTACAGGCTGCCACCAAATCTCCCCTGAGCCTTCTCTTCTCCAGCCTGAAAGTCCTATGTCCCTCAGCCTCTCCTCATGAGGTTTGCTCTCTTTGTCTTTTGATCATATGGTTGGCTTTCCTTTGATCTCTCTTGAGCTTATCTATGTCCCTCTTGAACTGTGGGGCCCAAAACTGGACACAGTACTCCAGTTGCAGACTCACCAAGGCCAAGTACAGCGGGAGGATGATGTCCCTGGTTTTGCTAGAGATGCATCGATGGATGCATGCCAGAATTTGATTAGCTTTGCCGGCCATGCATGGCAAACTACCCTGCCCTGCCAGAGTCCATCTTGGATAGTGGCAGTGGCAGGTGGGTCTCCACTTCTAAAACCTCTTCCCAGGATGCCAGGGCCACACAGTGCAATGTTGCAGCCAGTAAAACAAACCAAATTCTGGCTTGCATCCATAGATGCTTCTCAAGTAAATCTCCCCTGCATCTGCCCCTCAGGTTTGATCCCTGCATGGGCCACAGAGCTGGGTCCTTTTGCGTCCTACTCGCTAGTCCTCCTTTTTCTCCTGGGTAACAAGCACCTCCCCTCCAGCTCCGCTCCGTGGGAGGGAATGAGAACCAGGGTGACTTCCTGCCTGGCTCCACTCCGGGAAGTGCCGTGGCACAAGGCCAAGATCTGTGATCCTTCCCCCCTACCCCCCAGGCAGCAGGAGTTTTAGCAGCCCTGTCCCAGACAGAGGGAAGGAAAGTGGGGAGAATAGTGGGTGGGACAGCTCTCCGTTGCCTGGTCCAGGCACCTAATGCCAGGAGGCATTTCCTCGGGGTGGGATCCACCACTTTTGAGGCTGCCGGGTCCCTCAGCCCTTCTCTGCTCCCATGCCCCGCACAGCGCTGCAAAGACCTGCTCACGTTTGCAGCCCCATGCCGCACCGCTCTCGCACAGCGGAGACAGGCTGAGCCGTGCCCTCCACCCCACTGCTTCCAGCCCGTCCTTCCCCTCTCTTCAGGCCCCGCAGGCCTCTTTAATACAGCTTGAAACGTGGCACTGGGATTCCCTCTTCCCTGCTCCCTGCCCCCTCATCCCTTCTCTGCCCAGAGCGGACACGCAGCTTGGACTAAAGAAGGGCTTTGCCAGGTCAGCGTTCCCTTTCCCAAGGAAAGGAATAGTCAGATTCTCCCTCCTGTGCAAGGCTGGTTGGAAACCAATGAACTCAGCATGTACTCTTTCTCACCCACAGCCCAGAGCCCTCTCTCAGGTCAAGAGATGCATTATAATCCAGGACTGTTCATAGATCCTTTAGGAATCTTCCCAGAAGTATTTGCATC